TTTCCATCTCATCTAAAATTTTGAACTTAAAATATTTTAATGAATTTAAATGTATAAAAATATTGATAATAGCATTTTCTAATTGAAATATCTCAAATTTTCAGAAATTTTAAAAAGTTAAAAAAAGATAAAATGCATGGAAAAATCGTTCTTGATGAAAGGTATTGAAATGAAAAAATAACAAATCAGTTTGATACAATCAATATTTTTTTTTTTTTTTTGAAGTTAGTTTATCTTTTTTCCCTTCTTCTTCCAATTCCTTTCTCTCTTTCCTTTTTTTGCTTTTCTTTTCTCTCTCTTCTTCTCTTTCTCTTTCACTCTTTCAATCCTTTTTTCTAAGCCCTTTAAAAATGAAAATCATCTTCTATTGATGCAATAAATTCCATATGTATATGTATACAGTTGTACAAGCATAAAAATATGAAAGTTAAAACATTCCCACAATTTGTTTAAGCATGCTAATTACTATCATAGGCTATTAATAAAATATAATTAATAGCCAAATGTTATATTATCGAATATAATGAAATGATAAATATTTTTTTTAATTTGTGAAAAAATTACGTAAAAATTGATAATTATAATTCTTAGCTAAAATGTTTGCAAAATTTTAACTTGTATATTTATTAGGAATTTAACTTGCCTAATTTAAAACATGCCTTCAGGAAGAAATATTTCACATATTACTTTCAGCCTATCATTTACTTATTATCTTTCATTGATAAATTGGTAATATTTGATATTAAAAATAATTTTGAAAACTATCAGATGTATGCAGTGTTAAAGAATGCATTTATTGATTGATTTTAAAAGATGGAAAGGAAGACTTTGAGTAAAAATGTTGCGACATTTATATGCAAATTTAGAGCTTGGAAAATCAATATTTCTTTAATTCGAATTGTTTTAATAAATCATTTTCATATTTCTGTCAGATGTGGTGCGGTACAACGGAGCAGGCGCAAACGCGACAGTTACCATTGGATGTTGTATGGGTTGTACCGGGGGAAATTCGAAAACATTTTTCTCAGGTCTTTTGCTATATTTTATTTGCTAAGAATCAGAATTGATTATTAAAAAATTATATTTCAAATAAAAAACAACATAAACGGTATTCAATAATTTTTTAAAATTATTTCTTCAAAAGTTATATTTATTATTGAAAATTAATTGAGATATTAGCAGGACCATTCAAGATATTTTAACAGAATATATTAGAAATTAAAAATTTCAATCTAAATTAAAAATTTTTTATTCTCTTTTTGATCTCGATGTTTGATCTTGATCTTTTATGAGCATAACATATTTGTACAATTAATTTAACATTCTATCATGAGAGGAATGTTGAATTAAATAATTAAGAGATCCCAATAAATTTTAATAAAATTTGTGAAAAATCCACTAAAAACAAATTCAAATGTAAAACGATAAATTTTGTAGACAAATATTTTAGTAAATCATTTGAAATTTAACAATTTTAGATTTTTTGTAGAATTTTAAATTAAGATACATATATTTTTCATTTAAGGAACAACTTCAACATGAAAGATTTGGAGTTAGCGCATATTTGAATTGGTCCGCAAGTCATGGTTTAAAAAATCCAGTAAGAATTGTACTTGAAAATGGTTATTCATGCTGCGCACCAGCAAGTTTGCTTGCTGCATTTTCCGAAGTTTTACGCAAGCTAATTTTAGCGCAGGTATGATATAACTGAAAGTATATTTGAGTTAATTAATATTTGTTGAGCAAAAACTAATAACTCTTTTCGAGACATCTCCTAAACAAATCATTTTCCTTCCGGAAAATTCTATACACGTATCTTAGTAGTTTCTACCACTATAATGTTGAATTCATCATAAAATATCAAGCAAATTTTATATGCATCAAACAAAATACAGTCCGGAATGGAAGTGAACTGTGCATATTTCCGTCTACAGTTCATAAAAACTGTAGGCGGAAATATATGCTGGAATCTAAGTAGAAATTCATTAAATTTGTAGACGAGTGCTTTCGATTGCAGTATAATTTTTTTCGTGAAGTCAGAAATTTCATGCATTTATTTTATTAAATGTTGATAATTTTAACAATAATACCGAAAGATATTCGAATGATTATCAGAATGATCACATTTAGGCATCACAGGAACAATTCTCTTCCGGCAAGGAAATCACAATTCACCTGCGTGAAATTCCGAGTATTACAAATGCTGGTCTATTCAATGTGATTTCTTATATTCAAAATGGACAAATAAAATTCTTGGAAACTGAATTGGAGAACGTTCTAACAGCAGCTAACGATCTTCGAGTAAGCATACAAACTTGGCTTAGAGCAGTAAAAAATGCTACAAAATGCTAATCTAAATCGGGTGACAATAGTTTAAAGCTAAGAAAATAGATAATATCGGAATAGTGTGAATGGAAAAAGAAAGAATTAGCAAAGTAATAAATAGGTAAAGTAAAATCGACAAGCCTGAACGCTCATTTTGGAATACGGGTGGAATGTACAGATTCCAGAAGGATATTTTTAATATATGGAAAAATTTGTCGAACAAAATGAGAATAACTCAAATGATTAACAAACCGGATATTAATTTTTTAATAATTAATATAACGAACAATTCTCACCTTTTTCAAATATTTAGTAAAATTGTGTGTTTCTCATTCATGAATTCAATTATGCTTACGTTTTTATAATTGACGGGAAAATTTTGACGTAAAAAGTGTTTTCAGGTGATTTCATTGGTATCATCAATTTGTGAAGAAATGGCCATACGTATATTAGAAAATACATCGTCTGCAATAACATTACTGTATATTGCTGTTGCATGCTTACCTCCGTTAGTTCAATTAATTTTTTTCTTTTTCATTTTAATTCATTTAAATCAAATAGGATACGGAAAAACATAGTAATATGTTCATATTTCTGCCCGTTTGCAATTTAAAAAAATTTTGGAAAGTTTTATTTTTGTAATTTCAACATTTTTGATAACTTCTTCTGATATTTAACAATTCAATATGAAAGATTATTTCTTATTAGCATCTAATTAAAATAAATTAAAAGAGGATAGAAAAAAATCCCCCAAGAAACCTTAATATAGTCAATTTTAAATGAGACAAAAATATTGCTCTTAGAGAATTATTTTTGAATATGATTAATATGCTAATTTTTTCCTTCCTTACTGATTTTTTTTTCTTTTTTTTGTTATTTAGGCAGTCACAACACCGCAATATGGTTGTCGATAGTGCAGCAAGAAAATTTCCTGATGTTGTGATGAATGCGGAATTTCTAAAAGTAAAAAAAAATTTCTGCTAATAATTTTTTTATTATAATTGTAATTGATTAATTATGTAAAAAAAATGGAAAGTTTGATAAACTTATAATTACACAAGGAAAATAATAATTAAACGATATAATTTAACAATATTTTAAAAAAAAAGAAATTTTTTGAGAGAAAATTTAAATTCAATTTTAGTTATCATTCGAAATGCTTTATGCGCTTATTTCTTCACCGGTAATACAAGGAGCTGAATGGGTTATGGAAATTTACAAAGCAGTCTTATATTGGCTTCGAAATAATACTGAATTAATTTATTTTGCACCAGCTCTGTTGGATAATATTAATTTCAAACTTATTATCAACACGATTGAAAATGTTTGTCGTTTTTATTTGTTTTATTTAATTTTTTTCTCTATTTGTCTTACTTAATTTTTAAAATTTTTATAAATTAAATTGTATAAATTATCGAATAGCTAAAAGAAAATACTGCAAACACAAAAAGAGGGATATAAAACATAACAGTAAAGTTTGCTGTAGTATTACATAATAAACATTGCATAACGTAAATTTCATTTCTCAAATTTTAAATTTTCGAAATTACTACAATCGATTAATTATTAAAAGTAGGGACAATGCAATGTAAAGTAAAACTCAGTGTGTAATATCATGTGATAAACATAGTATTGAGATAAGTAAACAAATTTTGATAAATTCAAAATGAATATTACTTTTTTATTTTATTTTATTTTTTTTTTTCATTTTTCTAGCGTCGTGAGATAATACAAAAGTCAATGGAAGTGTCAGAACTGGGACCAATTGTGCAAATCTTTTTAATGGATGCAATTTATGCGCAATTTTTGGTTTGCTTTATTTTTTCATTTTTTGAATTTTTAAAATTTGCTAATTCTTATGACGAATGATTATATGACTAAAAGAAAAAAAAAATTGAATTTATAACCAAAAGTAAATAAATAAAAATTAAAAGTGATAATGTGTTAACAAATTATGAAATATTTAGAATGGAATTGGTATTTAACATTTAATTATAGGATGATTTGACATCACCACCAAGTCGCAATCAATCATTTTCATCGTCCATTTATACGATATCCGGTGTGGAAACTGTAAATGCGCCAACTCCAAATGGAGGGCCTTTAGGATTAGCACCATCACCTCTCGGATCATATATCATTCCACCGTTTAATTCCCGCTCACCTATGACAACTAAAAGCATTAGCAACGAAACAACTGCATCGGTCGACAGAAACTGGCGCCCAGCTAAACAGCTACCAACAGGATCCGGTAATTCTCGTAATCAGCCAGTCGGTTATCAGAGCAATGCTATGAACTGCGCGAACTATAAAGCGCAGGAGAAAACTGCAAACAATACCGGTGACACGGGACGAAGACTTTGGTCTGAAGTTTTAGCTAATGGACCCAAATATAATTCAAAAAGTGGAAATGTATCAGGTGAAATGTCGTCGTCATTTCAAAGTAACATTACACCTTCTGCAACATTACCACTAAAAAACTCTCACGATCGTGCGGTAATTACAGCACGTAATAATCCGGCAAATATGGGTCCGGAACGTAGTGGACCGGTACATAGTGGCTCGGTACATGGCGGTCCGGTACATAATGGTCCAATACGCTTAGTGCATAGCAGTCTACCAAATAGTGATTCGGCACGTGGTCGTCTGGCATTCTCCTATTCAACGATTGTTGCCAATGGTGGTGGTGGTGGTGTTGATAAAGACGGAACGGAAACCGCTATTGCAAGCTCTCCAACGTTTGAATCAGTTGAAGTTCGAACAAGTAGTAGCCAAGAATCAACATCAAGTTCAAAACGACGACGTAAATTTGAGCAAATTCCGCTACGAACTGAACCTCCAAAAAGTCGCAAAGAATTACGCAAAGAACGGCAGGCACGTGAAAGGGCTGAGAAGAAGTGATTGAAGGTGATGGATGAATCATCACTTTTTTATTTCAATTTTAAAATCAAAACATTCTTATCACTACATTTTTTCTCCATTTTCTAAAATGGTCCTTTCAATTTTAAGGAAAATTTTTTTTTCAGTAATATCGTAAACATATATACCCCGTAAATCTATTGGGCTTAAATCAAATGGTAAATCGATTAAACATAACAATTAAAGTAGATTTTTGATTCCAGTGAATATCGATGAAAGTAATATCAAATATTTTTATCAACGAAAATAAAATAATATTTTCTCTTAAATTGCACAAATAAAAGATACGTATTCAGACGCTTTTGTGATTCACATAACGTCGACTTTCCGTCACTTAAATCATTGATTCACGTGACTGTGAATATTATGACGTCTAAACGTGAGATCTATCCCAGAATCTTTATTTTAATGCGTACAATTAACAATGATGTCTAATACAAAAAAAGAAAAAGAAATAAACGTGCAATATTAATAACTCCAATTCCAATCATAAAAAGAATAATAAAATAAAATAAAAATAATCAGTGCCACTGCTTTCTAATTGAACCACTTGAATTTTTTATTAGAAATTGAAATTTCAATTGCGGGACAAGCTATATCAAGTAAGCATATAGGTACATTGAAGCAATTATCAATCTGGATATTTTGTTTTAAATTTTAATAATTTCAAAATGAAATTTCACATCATCAGCAAAATTTTTTGTTCTGGTTTTTTCGTCAATTTTTACACTGTTGAAGTACTTCAAAGCTATTATTCAAGCAAGCATTTAACATCAACCAGTTGTTGCTGTAGATATTGATGTCAAATTGTAGAAGAATAGATTGGAAATTATCCGAACATATCTATTCTTTCTGGTAATTATTTCTGCTAATTTTCTTTTTCATTCAGTAATTTTTTAAATTAACTTTGGAACACTCTTGTAGAAAGTTATCCCAATCATTGTCATTTATTTATTTCTTGATGAGAATGATTGATAATAATGAGCTGTAATATCCAAATATCAAAATTGGATATGTTTATAGAAATTTTATATGTAAATCAAAAAGACATGTAGATCAAAAGCATCATCTTGTATTAATTAATTTCAATCTATTCAGCGATTTAAAAAACATTATTTCAATATTATCATTGATTTTTTCTATATCGTTTTCGTACTCTCAATCTTCATTTTGTAATACTTTTTAGATTTAATTAATCTTTAAATTTTCTTCCATTAAAAATCTAAATCTCCAAATCTATTGCCAATTTAAAAAAACTTAAAAATCTAAATGCAAAATTTGTAGGCAATCTATTATCAATTCCACTACATCATTTCCGAGTAATTTAAAAAGAAAAATTTTATGAATTGGAATCAGAGAAATTTAATTTGCCAATTGAAATTTACTTTCAAAATTTAAATCTAGCAATTTAAATATCACCTACTATTCTTTGCCTATTTTGCTCGTTCTTCCCATACTGTACTTTGCATTATTTTATAATTTATGATAAAATTTTTTAAAATAAATTTGCAAGGAAAATTAATTATTAAGGGATGATTCATCGGATATGATATGTAGAGTTAACCGTTCTTCAACTGTTAATGGAAGAAGGTTCAAAGATTGATTAAACCTAAAAGATATCATAAAACAGAGATTGCGCGTAAGAAAATGATATAGCAATAAAGTTCTATTAGTGATTGAGAGTGAAAAGAAAAAATGGTAAGATCTGAAGAGATAACAGAAATTGATGAGATTTACGAGATAGCATACGGGGAAGACAACGAAATGGTTAAAATAGCAGCGATTTATTGTTTGTTGTTGGGGAAGTTCAACGAGTTGCCACTCTTAGCAGGTTCAGTGTGTATGTCGATTTTACGTGCCTTTACTTCACGTAGAAGAACGCGATGTTTATGTGATCGCGTGTTATGAAACAGATTATTTTGTGATTATTATTACATAATAACTTATACTTGTACATGATTGGTCCATTTTACGATTAATATAATTGATTTCAATTATCATATAAACATGTGATAATAATTGAAAAATTATGTCAATCATGAAAGGATTGGGAAAAAGTGCGAGAAAACGTTTTAAATACAATTTCTTTATTATCTCGATGAAATTTCAGATGATTGACTAACGCTAAATGCAATAAATAACAGAGTACAATAATTGATATGGATGAGGATGAGAGAAAGGTAGCACAAACAGAAGCGATATATTCGATAAATATTGATTCCACCGATATCGACGATCATATACACTGTGCTTACTGTTTCTGTGTCGACTGTCAGTATAACCGTTGTGCATTACTTTCATGTCCCGAATGTCGTGCTATATTGCATAGTTGTAAACTTGAGGATCATTTGCTGATTTGTGGAAAGGTTTTTTTTTTTTTTTTNNNAAAAAAAAATATTGTCAAATTAATTAGATCATGAATTAGTTTTGTAGAGTCCAAATATATCATTAGATTGAATGATAAAAGTATGTAGTAATCAGGCTTTACCGAATTATGCAAATTTGGAAAATGATTATTATTGTTTGCGTTAATTAGCTTATTGATGGATAGTGCTTTTACTGCCTTTCAAGAAAAGAAATATGGAACAATTTAATAGCCTAGAAAAGAAAAATTGATGCATAGACGTTTTTAGTGCCAAGTTCCATTATCATATGGAAATGCATTTTGCCGAGTGATAATGCTCGAAAGTGTTAGGCCATGAATATAGTTCATCAAAAAGTGATAGAAAAGATTTGCTGTAGCTATTGTATTTGGCTTCCTATGAAAACATTGACCGTTAGGGAAAGTGCTGTTGTATATTCTAACCCAATATTGAATAATTTTACAACATATCACTCCTTTACTAATGTATTTAATTCTACTAGTCTGTCAAATTTTGGCCAAAAATACATTTTTTAAAAAATACTAATCAACATCTTAAAAGCTATGCAGCATTGTTGTTGAAAATTTTAAATTCTTAAAGTTATCATTGTTTTTGAACTATTGAAATGTTGTTGTGGTTTAAGGTCTATGTTTCTTGTTTATGCGCAGCATTCGGTTGTCCGGTATTGCTACGACGCGATAGAATGTCACAGCATTTGAAGCATTGCTGCGCATCTGCAATTTGTTGTGCCGTACAATGGAATAGACGAACCCTTAGTAATTATGCAAAACGTAAATTGAAACGATTCGCAAAAGGCCTGGAACAATGGGAAACAGAATTTGAAATGGATGATCGTGAAATTGATGTTTGTGCTGCATTGGTTGATCAGGTTTTTTTTTTTTCATTTTAGTTCACGTTCGGAAGAACTTAGCTGTGATTAATTGACTAGGACCAATTTATTTGCCTGAAGCTCATATTGTTATAGAATTATATCACGACGTTCATCTGACATTTATTTGTGGTTGTCCTATGATGAAAAATATTTTTCTAATATTCTTTTTTATTTCAGAAAGCAATTATCGATTCTTATCAAATAAGTCGCAAAGATCGGAAACGTCTAACTGATTTCCAGAATCCGTGTCATCCATTGATGCCACTGAGACTATCGCTGGAAAAGTTGTCTTATTTTGCGGACGAAGACAGCAGTGACGAAGAAAACAGACAAAAGGTTTTCTGAAAGCTTTTATTTGTAACCTAGTGTTCGAATTGTCTTTCTATGTAATTTTATGTATACATTTTATAATAAATGTTTCTGAACTGACAGTAATGTTGAGCAATGCAATGTGGAAAGTGAAAGCTAAGAATGAAATAAACTGTATTGAAAAGTATAATTTGTTATTTATTATACGTTTATTTCAGTGGCTGCTGTTATTTTCCTAGGGAGCTCTTCCGCATGCTGCTTAAAGGTAACAAGCATAGATTAATAATACAACATTCACTTAATTGCTTTTCAGGAAATTCAGCTTAAGCATAAACGTTCCCCATTTGAAAATTGTTATTTGTGCAAATTCGATCCAGCTAGTCAGCATCTCCACGTACTGGGTAATATTAGTTTCGAAGGAAGTGAAAAAGCTACGGAGGAAGTAATTCCACCAGTTAAGGTGTCACTTTTGCCACCGTTCTATGAGAGGAGACATTTATGCGTAAGTTTAAAAAAAAATGATAGTATTAGCTGATGAATAGTAACTTAAGTGTAACGATGATATTTTACTGTTGTGTGTTATCTCATCTAAAAAAGTTGGCGGTAGCTTCGTCAGATGAACAGTACAGTGCTGATCTGAAAAATTGTCCTGAATTCTGCACTTTAATATGTCCTCAAGACAAAAGAGTTTTTTATTTCATGCTATTAGTGAGGGATAAGGTAGCATGTTAAAGATCGGTTGTTGAAATTCGAAACATTTATAAATTCGAAAAGTATAATAATGAGTTATCTTTATTCATCATTTTTCATCTGTAACCTGGACATTATTTTGAATGCATGTTTACTCTCATTTATCTTTTTCGTTACCAGCCTTGAATCCGTATAATTTTACTTCACATTATAGTTGAATATTGGACGTGAACGTTTTTCGGTATTTGCTCGAAAAGGTGAGAATATGCCATGTGTTCAAAAAGGGATTTCAGTATATACATTTTGCTGTAACGAGAGCTTTCGTCGTGATGAATATTGTACACATTATGAATTATCTCATATGGGAGCTGATGACTGTATAGGACGCTGCCCAATGTATATTGATGGATGCCCTTTTTATTATTTCAAAGCAAAACCGTGCTGGGGAGAATTAAGGTTTCTTATTCATTTGTTTGTTTTTTTTAAGTCATCATTAACTACAACTTTGAAAAACTTAATTGATAACTCTTAAATGATTTGGTTGTTGTTATTATAAAGCTTCGTACGAAAGTTCGTATATGACCAGATTCTGTATTTTGTATACTATCAAAAAATAGTATACAAAATACAGAAAANNACAAAATACAGAAAATCAAAAGATGCATTAATAAGGTAGTGCTTATGCTTGAAATTTGTAATAATTTTTGATTTTCATAATTTTTTTTCTGTATTTTGAGACTGACGATGTATATATTATAAAGTTAAAAATAATGTTTATGATTAGTTGTTTATGATCTATTACTCTATCTTTTCCAGAAATATTTCTATTATAGATATAATCACTATCTGAATTGTGTCGTACATCGTCCACCTGAACCATCAATTTTACCATCTGAAGGCTCGCCGCTATATGACCTGCCACCAATAATACTGATTGAAATTTTACAATATTTGGATAGTGCATCATTGCGTTGTTTATCATCAACGTGTAAGCATATGCGATTAATGTGTTTCGAAGTGGCTTCTGACTCTGCAATGGTACACATCAAATGGGAACGAGCCGAAAGTGGAAATTGGTCAGAAAAATGTTTTGTAAGCTATTTAAAATCGAATTGCATGAAGCTCATTGCATATTATTGTTATTTCAAAGAACTCATTTTTCTTTAGTGGATTAAATATTATTATCAAAGTACAGCTTTATTTAAAATAAACCTGTCATTATTTTGTAACTGTGCAAGCCTCTCTTCTAAATATGTAAATAAAGCAATTAACAAACGGGCCAGGAACACACAATTGAAGAACTTTTGTGTGTGAATGGTTTTGTAGATATTTCTTCGGAGCATTAGGTCACTGTAGAATTTATTAATTTTTAGTGATTAGAAAGAAGTATTCATTTTTCTAATAATTTGCCAAGGTTGCCATATGACAGTCAGCTAAATGCTTCAATTGTTTGGTTTTTCGCTTACCTTTCCTTTTCATGTATTACTATAGTCATTTTGTTTCAATTGTTCTTTAGTTATAAGTAAGTTGAGACGCCAATCTCTATTTTATATTTCAGGACAAATTTATCTTTCTTTTTTTGTAGCCATAAAGGAAGTTATGGCACTTAATGAAGTAGTTTATGATAAAAAT